AATTCCGTCGGAAATCCGTCACAAAACTCCGACATAACACCCCACCAATCCCATCGGCCACCGCTAACGAAATGGTAACCACTCAAATTTGCCGACATCGAAAAAATCGGATTTCCGTCGGGAGTCCGTCGGAAAGTCGTCAGAATATTACGACAGATTATTTTCCGTCGGAAATCCGTCGTTTGTACCGACGGATTTCCGACGGAATACCGACGGTGGATAAAACCGTCGGTATTCCGTCGGAATTTTGCGACGGATTTCTGACGGACTAAATGTTAGTCGCAAATGCGTCGGTAAGCCGTCGGAAAATTCCGACGGAAATCTTTGCCGTCGGAATTTCCGTCGGAAATTTGCCTGTTTTCTTGTAGTGATATTGATTTGGAAACCCAACGTTCCCAAGTGTTCGAAGACGGTTCGGTCTCTACTAACCATCTATCAACCCAAGAATTAAATAATCTCGTTGTTCAAGTAAGTTGTTGAATATTACATTTTCTTTACTTAAACCTTTTTTCCTACTTCTTTTTGTAGGAATTACCGGTTGACAAGAAAGGTCGTACTTTTGGAATTGGTAATTATTCGGTTAGTCAATGCAATTCTTCTCCATCCGTCAACACCTCCACGAATGCGATGTATGAGGAGAAGTTGGAGGAACAAGAGACAAAGATGACTAGTATGCAGCAAGAACTTGACATGTGTAAAGATTGGTTAGGTGCCAAATTCTCTGATTTTCCGAGTTCTTTCCCGTCGCAAGCGAGTTTTTCCAACGGACAATAAATATTTTTGTTTTTGTTTTTTATTGTTATAAACAGTTTAAAATATTAAGTTTAGTATATTTTATTTTTCAGTTTTATGTTTCTTAATTTTTTTATATTAATTGAAATATGCCCGTTGGAATTCCGTCCAAATTCTGCAACTATAGATCTTCGGAATTCTGTCGGAATAAAACGACATATCTCGACAGGCCATAATCATCGGAATTTCGCTGGACAAAATTTCCGACGGATGTCATGTCGTCGAAATAATCAACGACGGTTACATCCGTTAGAAACTCGTCGGAATAGATGTCGTTGGTATCCTAACAGGTATATCCGATGGATATAATCAGTGTCCGTCAGAATTTCCCGATGGAATGCTGATGGTTGTATTATTCCGATCAGCGTATTCCGACGGATTATTTCTGTCTTAATGTCATCGAGATATGCTGTTTCCGACGGAATAGTGACGGTATTGGCCATCAGAATATATCATGTTTTTTTTGTAGTGTAGGTTCAAGGTAATTATTCAGTGTTTTTTTTGAAATTTATAATTATCCAGTGTTTAAGGTAATCATCTAATATTTTTTTTTTAAAACTCATATGTGAGTTTCTTTTCTACATTCACGATTTTTGTTCTTTTAATAATTTTGGATGGTTTTATAGGCTCTTCGATGCTATCAAACACGTAGAGATAAATAAAAAAACCACTGACGTTGTTTTACTAAATTATAAGTGATAATATAAGTATCTAAACAACATTATTATTAGATCACTGGAGAGATTTAGCAACAATGCAACAACATATACTTCCACCACCAATACGATTGACCACACATTTTACCAATAATCCCTGGTGGGAACTCAGGCGTTTCACATCGAGTTTTACAGTCGCTATCGGTATTGCACGTCTCTCTAATGTTAAAGTCTCTTGTCTTGAATGCTATTAATCGTAAAACAAAAAAAAAATTTCAATAATGATCATTAGTTTATAGCATATTGTTACCTATATATAAACAAAAAATGTAGTGTTATATAGAACAATGTATACCAATTTGTATGTGCGTGATTTTTGTTTTATGTAAAAAAATTTGGAAAAGTGTGTAGAAAAAAATAGAAATTTTTTTAAAAATACCACTTTTCAAAAATGATATTTTTCAAAAATGCCACATTTTAAATTTTTTTGTAAAAATACCACTTTTTCAAAAAAAAAATTTCATTATATCATTTATATTTGGGTTAACTATGTTGTATTATGGTTTAGTTTTGAGGGTTTTAGAGGTTTTAGGGGTTTTAGGGGTCAAAACATTTTTTAAAATTTATAATTTTAAGATTTAGGTTTTAAAAATCCATAATTACTTACATTTTTACAAGTGGACACCCCTAAGTGGCATTTTTGCAAATGTACACCTCAAAAATGATATTTTTGCAATTGTCCCAAAATAATTCAACTAAAAAATGTAATTTATAACAATATTATATAAAAAGGTCTTTAACAAAAAAAATATTATATAAAAAGGAGAAGACGACAAAAACAATATATATATAAAAAGGAAAAAATAAAGAAATATTATGCCAA